TAGGCAATTATGCCTAAACATTGTATACTACAGAGTATCTTATTATGAACCACATTTCCGTTATTTTAACTTTACATCCCAAGTAGGTAACTATATACATATTTTTGTATGTTGGTTACCTATGTGTATTATAAGCTCTACCGTCTAGATTTCATTTCGGGATAGTAAAGACTGTAAGTCCCTGCGAGGCACCAGTGATGCAACACTCAGCTCCTAAGGGAGAGGTCAGTGGCTTGAATCCACACAGAGGTCCCTCAGAAGAAAGGTCTGGCCATCTGCTTGGTTTTCAAGGGCTGTGATCTGTCCAAGCAGATTGTCACAAAAACATGACTGGTGGCAGGTTAACACATCACAGTAAGCGGCGGGTCTACAGACGCAGGGGCGGGGCATGTACATCATTAAATAGAAGGGTTTGCAAGATTGGTCCCCGGCCTTTGAGGCAACGCATTCAGGGGAAGACTGATAGGGCATGACTCAGGACTATGCCACCTCCTGTACTGTTCCTGGTAGGGTGACCTCCAACCAGGACACACCCAGGGACGCCTTTAAGAGAGAGACCGGCCCTCCCTGCCTGGCTGGAGAAGGGTGGAGGGCATTTACTTTCCCAGGCATTCTTCTGGAGAGCAAGGTTATCTGCATCCTTGGTTAAGAATCAGAAAGAATTCAGTGGAGGCTTCTTACTCTATTCAGGGGCCCTGCAAATGGATTGTCTGCTGTCTCTGCTGTCCATAGCTCTAAGACACCCCTCCAGTCTCCCTGGGGCCTTCTAGGGGGTCACAGCCGTCAGGAGTGGTCTGCGGCACCATCTAGTTCTTCTGGTCTCAGGCTGCAGGAGGTTCTCCTAGGCTACTTGTGGGAAACAGAAGGATTTCTCCCAAGTTGTCTCCTCCAAATATATGGCAAACTTAGCTGCTTGCGAATGACTCTACACTTGGAGGCCATCAGAAGTAGGTCAGGGGTTATTCTCCCTAAGGGCTATCAGCCATCTAGAGCAAGCAGTCACCACTGTTTATCCCACCACAAGTAGGACCCACTCCCTTCTGATAAGGATAGTAGTGGTCTGTTTCCTTGTAGGAGACACCAGGGAGGTCAAGGCCACCCAAGGGTGACTAAGGTTAGGCCAGCATCATGAATCTAGGGCCCGCCCATCTTGTCACATGTATACCTCTAGTCCCTCCCCTTCCTATGGGCACACCCCTAGCTCATCCCCTTCCTGTCTCGCTCATGCCTGTCGTACATCCCCTTCCTATGATGTGTATGCTTATTGTTCTGCCCCTTCCTGAGACCTGTGGTTACCTGTGATCACGCCCCCCTAAGTAGTTATAACACTTGGTGAGCAATAAAGTTGGGGCTCTCCTGCTCTCGCTCCCGGGCTCTCCCCATGAGGACCACCAAGTGAGGCCGAGGTGAGCATGCTACCATGAATCATGTCTGACTCCATTACTTCAATCTGTCTTCTATCTCTCATGCACTCTATGACGTCACTGTAATCCGGATGCCACTCACCAAACTAGGGGACAGAAGAACACTGTCTGAACGAACCAGGTTGTACCAATTAGGCTAAATGCCCCCTGAGATTAAGGTCCTTAGCCTTCAGGCCCAGGGACAGTCCCACAAGGTTGTTGGATATGTCTAGGAAGTTTCCATGATGCCGCCCCATGTGCTATATTATATGTATGCAGTGCATGTAGATATACATACACACAGCACAGACATATGTGTGTATACGTACACACACACACACACACCATTCTATACCTAGAAAAGGAGCCCTGGTGGCACAGTCAGGTAAGCACTGCACTGCTAGTCATGTGGTTGGCGGTTTAAACCCACCCCCTGCTCTGCAGCGGCAGGTTGGGGTGATCCTTGCAACATAGAAGACTCTTTCTTTCTGTGGGCAGACCTTGTCTTGCCTTTCAATCAAAGTGATATCGCATAGCATTTCTCCTTTCGTGACTGATGCCTTCCACTCAGCCTGATTCTCCCGGACGTGGCTCTGTCATGTGCCACTCACAGTTCCTCCTTATCATGACACAGCACGCCATGGTTTCCATGCACCACACTTCGCTTATCCATTCATCTGCTGGTGGACACTGGGGGCGTCCCCACGTCTTTGCCCTTGTGAAGAACCACTGAACATGAGTGTGGGTTTGATGTCAATAAGGACACTAGTAACGGAACACTCCTTGGGCTCTGTGACGAAGCAGAGCGCCCAGAACACATCCCCGGGACGCCCTCAGTCCACACGAACCTTTGATCAGGCTACCTGCGTTTAGAACATAAACGATAGAGACCCCACGGCAGATCACATTGTGAAATGTGAAAGACGAGATGACATCTGGCCTAAACAAGCACCCCCACAAAGTGTTCAAACTGGAGATGAACAAGGAGAAACCAGAGACGTTTTGTAACTTTGTGTCTGCAGAGGGAAGCCGGAGGAGGCCTGGGAGATGCTGACCCAACAGAGCAGGCAGCCCGTGCGCTCAATGCATACTTGTGGGATGAATGAACTAGAAGGAAGCAGGCTGCTAGGTGTTACCTGCCCTCTCTTGCAGAATCACTCCTGAGCAAGATTTCCTGGAAAATCAGGAAGTGCATGGGATGGAGACTGACACGGTGATGCTTAGTAGTTCAACTCAGTCCCCCAAGTAGCCTTTCCCAGCTCCGTGGCCGGTGCCCCCTAGGAATATGAGAGCCCCTACGGTGGGTGAGGGAGCATGCCGAGCTTCTTCCACCACCAGAGGCCTCCCTGGCGCAGTAGTTGGTGCTGTGCCGCGTGGTGTTGTTATTGTTGATGTTAGCTGCCTCTGGGTGGATTCTGACCCATGGCCGCCCTTTATGTGCACCCTAAACTGGCTCCAGAGGGGTTCCAGGTGGGGACCTGTCTGAAGCAGACGTTTATGCTGTTTTCCGAGGCTAGTTCTAAGGTGCTGTCAAGTCCATTTCGACGCATTGCAGCCGCGGGGGACCGAGTAGAACCGCGGCACAGGGACTCCCGTGGCCTTTATAGAGCTGACCACCAGGCATTTCTCCCGCAGAGCCTCTGGGTGGGGTCAAATGCTCCAACTCTTCAGGTAATAGGTTCCTTCTAGGCTAGTAGTTGAACGCCTAACTTTGTGCTCCCCAGGGACCCCACACAGCATACTAGACACAAGCCAGATCACACGCCATTGGCATACAACACTCTGGTCCAGGGGAAGAACAGAGACTTGGGAGGATGAAGCGATAGAATGAAGATAGGTCAGTAATCGGCAGAGCAAGGAGGGAAGCCCAGCCGGTCCCTGGAGCCAGGACTTACAAAAGTGCTGCAGGGACTTGGAAGAAGGAAAGATCAGTCTGAGCTGGGACGTGTCTGGAGCGAGTTGGCGGAGGTGCTTTCTAAATAAACACAGGGAACAGCAAACAAGCCCTTTGGGAGCACCTGCTCTGAGCCAGGGACTGTGTTTATCGCCCTGATTCCCGTCGTGCCCCTGTCGAGGTGTAGCATTTCCTCCATTTTACAAGTGAGGAAGTCGGTTCAGGTAGGCAGCTGGTAATTGCATGTGTCACTCCCACACAAGCATGTTTGAGGTGCTCCATCTGGCAACATCGCGGCGTGAACTTTGTACTACAGTTTCCAGTGTTGTAGTTCACACCGGGTCCCTGTCTTGTCTGGGATCCACGTGTCGGGAGCCCCGGGAGACAAACGGGACGCAGATGGCTGGTTCCCTCCCTTCATGCAATCTTGCGGACTTTTATGGTTCAATTGTGTCCCATTGCCCCCAAAACGTGTTGGACTGCTACCCTCAACGCGGGTGGGTCCGATGCACCAGCCGCTTCTTGGATGTAAGATGTGGCTGTCTGCCCCCATAAAGCTTTTGCTGTTTTTTAAGATAGGCCACCTTTGATGTATTCATGTGGTTGCTTCTCATTTGGGCTGCTATGATTCCCACAAAGATTTAGGGCTCGCTCTGGGACAGAATGGATGGCAGTGGTAGGCGTGTGGTGATAATCCCATCAGGGGACGGGTTTGGTGTGTGATGTGAAGTAGGAGAGATCAAGAGGGCAGATTGGGCGCGGAGCAGCAAACTGAGATGGTGCTGGACACAGGCCTGGCCGTGTGAAGAGGCTGGCAGGAAGGCCGAGCAGCGGAAAAGCGCCTGGACCTCCCCTGGGAGGGAAGACAACTCCCCCAGCGCCGGAGCCGGGGTCGTGGACGTGCAGCGTCCTCAAATGTGCTGAAGTCCGCTTCTGCCCAGCTAACCCACCCTCGTGTATTCCAGTTACAGCAGCGGGAGGTGCCCCGCTGACCCCGGGAGGAAGTGTTTGTGTCAAGGTGACAGCCCGGAGCCCCCGGGCGGCTCGACCCCAGGGCCCGGGCCGGTCACTAAACCACTGCCTCGGTCTACGTCCGGAGCCCGCACCTCTGTCCAGGAGCTCCCTCCGGGCAGGTGGGGCGTCCGTCTTTGTTTCCGGAAGTGCTCCCCGCCCACCTGTTCCCGCTTCGGTCCCTGTCTGCGCCTCTGCGCAGCAGCAGCTTTGGGGCCTCCGTGTTTTGCGCGGTGAACTCCTGGATCGTTTCTACGTGCTCCCCGTCCTCGGGGGGGCCCCCCGCTCCCCCCGCACAGATCTTTGCTCTCCCGTGGTCCCGCAGGTGTCTTGCACGTCCACCACACCCCTGCGCGGTGTGCAATGGGTTAGCGTGCCCAGCTGCGGCCAACTGGAGGTTTGGGGTGCTCCCCGGAGCCCCACCCCGCCCCCCGAGAAGAAAGGCCCGGCGATCGACTTCCCAAAACCTCCCGCCACCTGAAGCCCCACGGGGCACGTTGACACCCTGACACCCACACAGGGGTCACGGTGAGACGGAACCAACAGAGCAACCGCTCGTGATCGCCATCAACCAGAAGGACGCCCGGTGCCCTACACAAATATGGCCGCGGCTGCCTCACGCCCGGGTCACGTGGCGCGCCCGTCGCCGTCACGTGACCCGCCCACTCCAGGGGCCGGGATTGATCCTGCAGGCCTAACCCGCAGACTCCAGTTACCGCCGGTACCTACAGCTGTGTTTTCTCAAGCGGATCTTCTGTCCCTCCGGGGCTCTGAAAGTGCTGCAGCCTGCGCCCCATCTTACAGCCCGAAGACATAGATGATGCTTTCAGATGCTTCCAAAGATGTGAGTGGACAATTCATGGGCTTTATCACACTGCTGCTGGAACTCACTGCAGCACGACAAGCTCTCTTTCAAAGCAGGCCCTTCTTTTGAGCTAGGGCAGAAGGAAGGACGGAGAGAGATGGAGGGGGGTCCTGGCCAGGGTGGAGGACAGAGAGCTGTCACCGGCAGAGAGGAGGCAGGAGCTGGAGGGGTGAGGCTGCACCCAGGTGCCTGTGGCTCTCGTCCCATCCCAAGTAAAGGATGGAAACTAGGCCGTGGGTTCCCGTAGGCAGCCAAGCCCTGCTCAGAGAAGGGGTTGAAGGGTGGAGAGGGGCTTGCCTGCTAGCCACTCCTCATTCTGTTCTCAGGAATGTCCCAAGCAGCCGAGCAGGGCAGGCATCATGGCTGTCAGCCTCGCGGGGTTGCTTCTGCTTCAAGCAGTGTCGTGGGCATCAGGTAAGGGAGTTAAGGAAGAGAGCTACGCTTTAGCTCTTTTGCTTCCTGGTCTTCTTGTAGCCTTCTGGGGTCCTGGGGGAGGGCTTTGGAAACGGCTTAATCCATCAATTTGACAGATGGAGACCGCCCTTGGAGAGGGGACCCAGGGAGTGGGCTTTTGAAACAGGTGTTCCGTCCTCCCTGTCCTCAGCCTCAAGCCCTTGCCTCTGCCTCTGCCCCCTCCTGCCCAGGTGCTTGCCCCTGCATCCCTCAAAGCTTTGGCTACAGCTCGGTGGTCTGTGTCTGCAATGCTACACACTGTGACTCTCTTGACCCCCTGAAACTTCCCGCCCCTGGCACCTTCAGCCTCTATGAGACCACACGTAGTGGACGTCGGATGGAGCTGAGTCAGGGGACCATCCAGACCAGCCACACAGGCACAGGTAACCGCGATGCCCCTCCACCCCGAGCCAGGCTGTGGTCTTGCCGGAGCCGGCTTATGTCGGTGAGCACCGTGGACTGGTTCACCCTTTGTTCTACCCTGTGTCCCCAGGCTTGCTGCTGACCTTGCAGCCTGAACAGAAGTTCCAGAAGGTGAAGGGGTTTGGAGGAGCCATGACGGATGCGGCTTCTCTCAACATCCTTGCTCTGTCACCCACTGTGCAGAACAAGCTGCTCAAATCCTACTTCTCCGAAGAAGGTGAGGCGGGGGCATCGACTTGACACTGACCATCACCTGTCTTTTGGATACTGTATGATTGCCCAGCACTGCCTCTGCCCTCCCCCTGCCCCCCATATGCTCAGTGCTTGCAGGCTCTCAGGTTCAAAGGCCCGAGTTTCAGCAGGCACCTGGATCCAAAGGCCTCAACCTTAGGAGCCCAAGTGTCCTTTGGTCCTGACGCAGACATAATTTTGGACCAGGTACCTCTATTCTGCTGGCTCAGACTGCCTTAACTGGTTATCCTTTTCTGCAGGGATCGAGTACAACATCATCCGGGTACCAATGGGCAGCTGTGACTTTTCTATCCGTACCTTCACCTATGCCGACACCCCTGACGATTTCCAGCTGAGCAACTTCAGCCTCCTTGAGGAAGATACCAAGCTCAAGGTGGCCCATTTTGGCTGCTCCAGACCTTGGTGGTACTGGCACGCTTCCCAGCGGCCAAGAAGCCTCAGGCTAAGTGTGCCAAGAACCATAGAAGCTGGCCCCTGCTGTTTTCCCCTGGGGGTGGGAGGGTGGGGACTGACAGCTGGGCCTGACGCACTGGTTGGGCCAGTCTGTCAATGTTCCAACTCTGGGTGTCTCTCCTCGCTACCTTTGTCTCCAGATACCCCTGATTCACCGAGCCCTGAAAATGACCCAACGCCCCATCTCGCTCTTCGCCAGCCCCTGGACATCGCCCACTTGGTTGAAGACCAATGGGGCAGTGAATGGGAAGGGGTCACTCAAGGGTCAACCAGGGGATATCTACCACCAGACTTGGGCCAAATACTTTGTCAAGTAAGGGGGCAACAGGGCCCTGTCTAGACTGGATGCCCCGGGGTTCATCCCAACTGTCAACCTGGTTCCACCTCCAGCTCTGACTGCCCTCAGTTCACCTCTCAACCAGCCACTTCTTTTCGCCATCAGTCCCCCATTCTGCCCCCTCACCCCACCCAGCCAATTGGTCCTCTCGTTCTCCAGGGGGTCTTGGTTCCCCTTCTCAGCTGACCTCACCCGCACCCTTTCCCCCTGCCAGGTTTCTGGATGCCTACGCGGAGCATAACTTGCGGTTCTGGGCGGTGACGGCCGAGAACGAGCCTTCGGCGGGGCTCATCAGTGGGTACCCCTTCCAGTGCCTGGGCTTCACCGCGGAACACCAGCGAGACTTCATTGCCCGTGACCTGGGCCCCACCCTTGCCAACAGCACTCACCGCGATGTCCAGCTGCTCATGCTGGATGACCAGCGCCTGCTGCTGCCCCATTGGGCCAATGTGGTAAGGCCCAGGGCTTCTAAGGGTGCCTCAGGGACCCTAACCACTATCCCCAGCCTCGAGAGGGGGCCCTTCCCTACCACCTCGTGACTCCGAGGACACCCCTGTATCTAGGCACTCAGGCACCACCCCCTGGGTCTCCAGGCTACCCCATGGTTGTCTTGATAGCGCCTTCACCTATCCAAGCTAACGCCTCTTCCAAGCCCCCCACTTCTCTTCCGGGGCCCTCCATGCAGGGTCCAGGTTCAGTGGCCTCCCTCCCCAGGAGTCCTGTCCCTTCCCGCTGCAGGTGCTAAAGGACCCGGAGGCAGCCAAGTATGTTCACGGCATTGCTGTGCACTGGTACCTGGACTTTCTGGCTCCGGCCAAGTCCACACTGGGAGAGACACACCGCTTGTTCCCCGACACCATGCTCTTTGCTTCGGAGGCCTGCGTGGGCTCCAAGTTTTGGGAGCAGAGTGTGCGGCTGGGTTCCTGGAGCCGGGGGGTGCAGTACAGCCAGAGCATCATCACGGTGAGCCACCTCGAGCCCTCTGGGGTTGCCCAAGGACCACCCCCATCTTTCCTGCTGCGGGCTTGCTCTCTGGGGCACCAGGGTTCCCTAGCTTCCCTTCTGGGTCCAGGCACACAGACCCACTGTCCCTGTGCTTGGCTCTCAGGCAGTTGTGTTTTGGGTCTCTCTTTAGGGACTCGTGTCAGTGCCCCTCACCCACAGCACCCAGCTCCCTACGGGGACCCTTAGCCACACCCATCTTCTGGGGGCCCAGGCTGGAGTCTCTCTGTGCTCTGCCCCTACCCTAGAATCTTCTTTATCACGTGGCTGGCTGGATGGACTGGAATCTCGCCCTGAACCCTGAAGGGGGCCCCAACTGGGTCCGCAACTTTGTCGATAGCCCCATCATTGTGGACATCACCAAGGACACCTTCTATAAACAGCCCATGTTCTACCACCTGGGCCACTTCAGGTGAGTGGGGCGCAGGCAGCCCCACGTATCATCCGGATCCGCCCGCACTGCCTCACAGACAGCTGGGAGGCCAGGAGGGTGGGGACCTTGGGAGGGGCACACCATCCCCTCTTGCACCATCTTGGCCGGAAGTGACTAGGTGCCACCAGAGACGTTGCTCGGTACTAGGGCCGGGCCTAGTTTAGGGCAGACCTCTTAGACAGGAAGGAGCCCTGTCATGGGGTGGGAGAGGGGTGAGGGGAGCTGCTTGGTGGCCCGGGAGGGGCTGGCCAATGTCCCTGATGATGCCTGTCCCCACACCCAGCAAGTTCATTCCCGAGGGCTCCCAGAGAGTGGGGCTGGCCGCCAGCGAGAAGACCGAGTTGGAGGCGGTGGCGCTGATACGTCCCGACGGCTCTGCAGTGGTGGTCGTGCTGAACCGGTGAGCACAGCAGGCCTGCGCATGTGGGAAGCTGCTGCCAGGCAGGGCTGAGCTGGAGCAGGGGCTGGGCCTCCGAGGAGGCCCCCCTCACTCCCTCTCCCCGCTCCTCCCAACAGTTCCTCTAAGGACATGCCTTTCACCATTGAGGACCCTGCCGTGGGCTTCCTGCAGACGATGGCACCCGGCAACTCCATCCACACCTACCTGTGGCGTCGCCAGTGACGCCAGGACAGACGCCCTGGGCAGACAGGCGCCTGGGTCGTGCACGGGCATTAAAAGGACAGCCAGTTCACATACACTCTGTGCACAGCAGGGCTTGGGAGCGCTCACAGTGGTGGAAGCCCACCAAGAGTGGTTTGGGTGACTCACTTTCCCCTCGAGGTGGTGCCAGGGGCTCAGGAAGCCCCCACAGCCCCCTCTACTCTGGGCTGGTTTTCTGTGGAAACTGGGCCCGGGCCCAGGGTGAGCTCACCGTACAAACACAGGGTTGGGGCACGGACAGAGGCTGGACCCACAACGGGGCCTGCTCCTCCTTCCTGAAGACGCTGACAGACTCCGGGGAGTGAGGGGTGACTGCCAGCACCAGGCAGAGATGCAGCTCAGAAGGCCAGCACAGTGGACAAGCTCAGGGCACCAGGGAGACCCCAGGGCGGCCCCTTTAAGGAGAGTGCTTGACCTCAGTCCATGAGCAGGTTTATTCTGAGGAGTGGTGCCCCACTTCTGGCTGTGCTGACAACAGGGGGGTGGGGGCGTACCACTTCTGGAATGCGTGACAGTAGAAAACTCAGTCCTGGGGGGTGAGGAAGACTCATTCCTCTTCATCCTCCTCAGCCATGCTCAGGGCTCGGGGCCCAGGGGACCGAGCTGGCGCTGCCCGCTGGATGGAGACAATGCCGCTGAGCAGGGCATAGCCCACCATGGCTGCCAGGCCTGCGAGCACGGACAGGACCTGGCTCCGGCGCCGGTAGGGCTCCTCCTCGGTGTCTGGGCCCGTGGGTGCTGGACGTGGGGGTGGCGCCTCAGCTGACGGGCAAGGAAGGAGAGTGGGCAGGGGGGCTGGTCTCTATATCCCTGCCCACTCTCCCCAGGGCTGATCCCTCCCTACCATCTTACCTCCTTCCCAGGGGAAGTAGAGGCTGAGGATGTGGCTGCAGTAAGCACAGAGGTTGTGCAGCCCCCGGAGGTGGGCCTGCAGCTTCCCGCTGGGCAGCTTGGTCTGTAGCAGCAGGGCCAAGCAGCTAAAGACAAAGGCGTCCAGGGAGGCGGGGCTGGAACAGAGATGAGGTGGGTGGACTGAAGGAAGATGCTGGGCAGAGAGGGGAAGACTGAGCAGGAGGCAGGGGCCTGGCCCTGGGAGGGGAGGGGGGCTCTTGAGCAGCAGGGCACTGCCCAGGAGGAGGACACCCAGCTCTGGACCTGCTGTGGGCACGGCTCCCCAGGTGGCGCCAGCCTGGCCCTGAATACAGCTCTATCCCCGGGCTGCATAAAGGGCACATTGAGTCCCCACAGCCGTGAGGGCCCCTCCTGGGCCTGACTGCCCTCCCACTCTCCAGTCTGGCCCCACACACAGTCCCACTGTCACCAGACCAATGTCTCCCTCCAGGACCACTTGTCCAGAGGCCTGTAATGCCCTCGGCAACACCCCCACCCGAGCCCTTGTGCCTACATCTGAACCTGTATCTCCTCCCGGGCCACCCGCTATCCCCCCGGGGTTCAGACTCACGCATCTCCGAAGAAGAATTTCTGAGAACCCAGGCGCTGCGAGAGAAGGGTCAGGCACTCCCGAGCTTCTTGGTACAGCTACAGGGAGGATGCACGGTGGGCTCAGGCTGCCCCCCACCCGGGCACTCCCATTCTTGCCCACCACCTCTGGTACCCCGAAATACCTCCTTCTCCAGCTCTTCCTCGTTCTCTGGCCGGGGTTCCCCACACAGTAGCTGCAGATGTTCCATGCGCTGCCGCTGCATGCGGCCAGGCAGGAAGAAGTTGAGAGGAAAGGGCATCGCCTCTGCGTACCACTTCCGGGTCACTTCCACATAGTTCTTGGCGTCTACCCAAAACGTATGTATCTGGATTGGGGAGGCAAGAAGAGAGGCAGGTCTGAAGCCAATGGGCCAGCTTGGCTCATGGTGGACCTCTGACCCCTGAGCTGCCCCCTGCCCCCTGCGGGCCGTAAGTGCTGGGTGGGCTGGGCGCACAGGGCACACTCACCAGCACCGGAAGCAGCTTCTCTTCCACGAGGGACATGAAGGCCAGGGTGTCTGCCCTCTGCCGGGCTGACAGGTCGTAATCGGCATTGTACTTCTGTGGAAGAAATAGCTGAGGTGGGCAGGGGGGAACTCCTGGGTACGCTGGGGTGGAAGGCAACCTATCTGGTGCCCCCTCTGCCGCCTCAAGTGTAGGGCAGGTAGAGAAGCCTTTCCCACTGAGGTTCCCCTACCAGGGCCCAGCCAGTAGGCTGTTGCTTTTGGCTGGCAGACAGCTGAGGTCTCGGAGCCGGCTGGCTGTCAAGGTCCCACGCCCATCTGGGGGCCGGTGGGGGAGGAGGGAGGAAGCACAGCCACAAACTAGGAGCAGCTCCCAGAGTTTCCACGGAAAGCTGGCAGTCTGCCTGTGGACAGCAGCTTTCTAACAGCAACTTTCCCGATCCAGGCACCGCAAAGCTAGCCGAGTGCAGCCAGACGCAAGGTGGGCATCAGGCCAGTCTTCAGATCTAGGAGACGCCATCCTCAGCCTCCTGGGACCCAGGACCCCCTGGCTTGCTCCCTCACTGCCTGGCCCAGGTGCCGCCACCACACACATTCCTCAGCCCCAGACACCGCCTGTCCTACCTTCCCCGGCCCCAGCCTCCACCCCATCCCCTCCCCTGCTCCGAATTAAGCTTTATCCCCAAATAACCTCCGGAGCATGATGTCTAAGCGTCTGCGGCCCTCAGTTTCTCCCCTTAATACAGTTGTGCTTGGAAATAATTTAATTATTTCATGTATACACGAGGACAAGCCACAAAGTTCAAGGGAAAAATTGTCGTTATCGTTTAATTCCATTTTTTCGCGAACTTTCTGAAGCCCTTGGGTGCATACAGGACTTGAGCAGCAGGACAGCCCCTGCCCGGGGCCACGGCTCTCATCTGAGTTCATCTCTCAAAACCAACCAGCCAGCCAGCCCTTACTGGCCTTGAGCTGATGTCACCTGATAGCTACCCTGTAAGACAGGGTCGAACTGCCCCTGTGAGTTTCTGAGACTCTAACTCTCCATTGGCGTTTCTAGAAAGCCCTGTCTGGTGGTATCGAACTGCTGACCTTCCGGACAGTGGCTGAACTCGTCACCACTACGCCGCCAGGGGTCCTACACCCATGCCTCTCAAGCTACCAGTAATTCCTTAACGCCCTCCCCTTTGATGTGAACAAGGTCCCGCCTTTCACAGTGTGTCCATTCTTAGAATCCAACCATGAGTGCTAGAAAAACTTTGGAAAGAATCCTGGCTAAATTCATCCCCAGGAGCTTGCAGCTCTGGGAGGTGGAATGCCTTGCTCAAGGGCGCATGGCGAGTGCGGGGTGAAGAGCAGGGCCTAAGCCTCCCCACTCCTGGAATGCTCCTTCATCTCCCAACCCCATGGCTCTAGGCTCTGTACATTCTGGGCCCCAGGTCCAGCCCCACCTGGTCTGAGAGGGAGAAAAAAGGGGTCCTCAGCCATCTCTCTGCCCCACCTCTGAGCCAGCTGCTTGCCTGCCCCTTGCATGGGTCATCTGCCTGCCTTGCCCATCGGGTGGCCTCCAAACACGTTCCCTGTCCCTGGAGCTTCTCTGGCCCACAGCTCACTATCGCAGCGACACTGTGTGTGCGCCCCTCATCAGACTGTATCCTCCTTGAAGCTCTGTGTCACCTGTGTCTTGCTGGCAACCATCTGGTGCTCAATAAACGTGTTCTTCCCATTTGACCGAACTTCCCACACTGGCCAACCCGCCGGCCCCAAGCCACCTACCTCTTTCTGAAGGTGGGTGATGATTTTGTGTGGTGTTGTGATGATCTCTCTGTGACTGGTGCGAAGGGCGGGCAGGGTGCCTGACATTGAGAGAGAAATATGCCCACCAGACTCTTAACCCGCCACTTTGGAGTCACTTCCTGATAGCCCACAGAAGAGCTGCTCCAGAGACTTAACTGAGTGTGGCATCTTAACTCAAGCCCCTCATCTGCCTCATCTTTCTTTCAGGGAGCAGCTGGTGGGTTTGAACCACAGACCCAATGATTAGCAGCCCAACCTCAGACTCAGCGCACCACCAGGGCTCCCTGCCAGACCCTTAAGCATCGAGCCCGTTCGGATGCACAACGACCCTACATGTTGTCGGAGACTAATTAGGAGGAGCACGCACCCTGACCTTTCACCTGAGCAGCACCTAGTGGGTTTGAGCTACCGACCTTGCCTATTATACACAACACCATCCCACCCCCCCCATGTCTCCCTGCCCCTTCCTTTATCCGGTCCCTTCCCCACCTCCCCAGGGAAGCAAGGTACCTGAAGGGCTCCGCCAGGGGTTGGTAATCTTGTGCACCTTGAGTGGAGCACCAGTGAATCTGGCATAGGTCTGCAGGGAAAGGGAGAAGGCAGAGAGGGCAGGGGTATGGCTCCCACAGGGCAATCAAGAGGAGAACACCTGAAGTCACACACACCCTCTGCTTAGTACTTGCCTCACCAAAAAAAGATGTTATTGATCCGTTGTTTATTTTTTAATCATTTTATTAGAGGCTCATACAACTCTTATCACAACCCATACATACATCAATTGTGTCAAGCACATTTGTACATTCATTGCCCTCAATTGATCCATTTTTTACAAATGGATCACATAGGATTCACAGATGATGGAGCACATCAATAATTACCAAACACTGCTCTGTCAACCAGTGAAGCCCCAGGGGCTCTCCTCTTTCCTCCCCATCTGCCTGGTGAACCCCCGATACTTGGAACCCCCCTGATACTTGGAGCTCTTCCAAGTATCCTTCTTGCAGAACCGAAGAACCTACTTACATGCAGCACCTAAACATGTACTGCCTTTGTTCGCATCTGTATCCGCCTGGAGGCCTAATTCACCTTTGCATGCCAGTGTTTGGTATTAGAAAGAGGCCTGGCACACGCGTATGGGATGAGAGAATGAGGTGAACGTCTCTTTTGATTCCAAAGCTTTTTCCGAACCTGACTGTGAGCTTCTTGGTGTAACCAGAGGGAAAAAAAGGTAGCGAAGGGGAAGATAGGGATGTCAAATCGTAGGCGATCGTCCATCCAACCTAGTACACCTCCGATGGAGACCCGCGCCCAGATACGGGATCGCTCCAAGGTCACACAGCCCGCGTGGCAGAGCAAAGACCTACCTCCGGTGCCCCCGCCCAGGCCTCTCTCTCTCTCTGCACGAAGCCTACGCTGCTAAGGCACGAGGCAAAAGAGCCCACATCGGCCACCTCCGTTTGGCCTGCCTCAGTTTCCTGCATGGCATCCCGTGCCGAGGCGCCTCGGCAAAACTCGGGCGCTCAGCTAGTTCGGACCCCCGCCCCAGCCGCCCGGCGGGCAACACAGGGCGCCCGCGGCACTCCTCACCAGCACGGTCAGGCTGTCCAGGTCCACGGACGGCAGGCCCCAGCCCCCAGCCCAGCAGAAGAGCTCCGTGGGCGCCGCCATCTTGGCCGCCCTCTGCCCCGGAAGTACCTCCCCCTGC